GCCAAGTGAATACAGTTCCAAGTAATTACAGTGAACTAAAACTGTATCCTGCTAAGGATCAGGCTGCTTTGCAGAAAGCAATGGATAAGGAACTGGAATCATTAAAAAAGTTGGAGGTATATGAAAACGTTAAGTTACCACCAGGTATACATGCTGTAGGATGTAAATGGATATATAAACTGAAGACAGGTGTAGATGGGACTGTTACCCATAAATCCAGGTTAGTAGCACAAGGGTTCAATCAGACAGCAAATGACTATGATGTGGTGTTTGCACCTAGTTTGAAGACTACCACATTAAGGGCAGCATTAGTGTGGGCAGCTAAGGAGAAATACATTATAAATCATTTAGATGTAGAGACAGTTTATCTGCATGCACCGTTGCAGCACATTATATATTTAAAGAAACCTTTAGGTCTCAAAAATGATAATACTAATACTACTGATTGCTGGAGATTAAAAAAGAGTCTTTATAGCTTAAAGCAATCAGAATATGAGTGGAACCAATGTATAGTTAAAGAATTAACCAAGATAGGTTTTGTAGCTGGCATGGCTGATCCATGTTTGTTTAAAAGAGAAAGTAATGGTGTAATTTCACTGTTGCTATTATTTACTGATGACATAGCATTAATCACCAAAACTGAACAAGAAGCTACTAAAATAATCTCACTGTTAGAACAGAAATTTAAGATAAAACAGTTAGGAGAAATCAAATAATATCTTGGCTTAAAGATAGATAGAACTAGGGAAGGATACAAGATCTCACAGGCAGATAAAATTAACCAATTATTAAAAAGTTTTAAAATGGAACTTTGTAAACTGGTTAAAACACCAACGAGCCAGGAGTTTAGCCATAGTGTGGGCAAAGTCCTATTTTCAAAGTCCTATTTTTGATAAGAACATTTATCAGTCCTTGATTGGTAGTTTATCTTATCTCAGTAATTAGTCAAGGCCAGATATTGCATACAGTGTTAATCAATTAGCGAGATTTAACGCTTAGTCAACTGAAAGGCACTGGCAAGCTGTTAAGCATATGTTAAGATATCTGAAACAAACAATGCATTATGCATTGTATTTGGAGCCTAAAGATGAACTGTGTTTAACCACATATGCTGATGTAAGTTTTGCTACAAACATAAATACACGAAAATCTACATCAGGTACTGTAGTATTATTGGGGAAAGCATTGATTGGATGGAGGTCTATTAGACAGAAACATCTAAGTTTGTCAACAATGGAGGCTGAATTCTCATGTTTGTCTTTACTTTGTACAGATTTAGTTTTGTATAAACAATTATTGATTGATATGGGAATTGATATAACAAATTCTATTGTAGTTTATGAAGATAACAAATCAGCAATACAGATTGCTTCAAATATTGCTGTTAAAACAAGAACGAAACACACAGATTTAAGATATTTAAATGTGAGACAATGCGTGCAAAGTAAGATGATTAAACTGGAATACTGTATGTCAGAAAATAACATAGCAGATCATTTTACAATGGCCCAAGGCTCTATAAAGCATAAGGCTTGCTGTGAGGATTATGGACTTAGAATGTTAAGTTGTATATATTGTCCTACCCAAAAGGGGAGAATGTTAGGAATGTAAGTCACCTAACAGTTATTTGGGTTGGAAATATATAAATCAGGATAGACATTTTAATAATGTCTCTTTAAGAGAATCCTAAAAGTGTAATTGGGTGTAGTTTCTCAAACGGCCATAAGATGGAGCCAGAAACCTGGGTTGTCTTAGTCTTAGTCTCAGAAGAGAGTGTGAGTGAGTCTGTGTAAGTTGGTTATATATAATTGACTGGATACTATATTTTAATGGGATTCTTATATTATTCAACTTTACCTTACTCTCATTAGGAAAAAGTATAACAATAAAGGAAATATATTGCTTAAATACAATAATAAATTAAAATGGGCATTGAAACTATTTCATGACAATGCCAGAAATTGTTAATCAAAGTTAACTAATATGCTGAAAGGTACGGAACAGTTTCTTTAAACATATTGTCTAAGATTAGGAATGAAGTAGGTGATAAGACTAATCTTCAACTAATTCAATCCTTTTGGCCAAGATTGTTAGGAATGTAAGTCACCTAACAGGTATTTGGGTTGGAAATATATAAACCAGGAAAGTCATTTTAATACTGTCTCTTTAAGAGAATCCTAAAAGTGTAATTGGGTATGGTTTCTCAAACGGCCATAAGATGGAGCCAGAAACCTGGGTTGTCTTAGTCTTAGTCTCAGAAGAGAGTGTGAGTGAGTCTCTGTTTTCCTTCTGTTGGAGAGTTTTACCGTTCCTTCTAATTGACTGATATTCTTGGATTTGATGTAAATCTGTTACTGAACTGTTTTTGACACTGGACTTTGTTATTGGATTATCCCTGGACTAAAAACTGACTGCCTAACCTGTGAATGACTTTGGACTGCTTGTTTTGAACTTTGCTTAACGTTTCTGAAAGTAAAAAACCTACATTTACTGTACAGTGCATCTGTGTGCTGTGTGTGTATTATTCAACACTTCCCTCAGATATGTCTCCCTGTATGCACTCATTCTCCTAACAAGGAATTACCTCAACAAAGATCAATGAGTTTTAACCTTCTAGGTTACACGAATACTGCCCTGACTCACAGTGTGGTAGCTATTTTATAAAGCAATCAATTAATTATATCTACATTTGTTACTGCACTCTTAAAGGATGATTTTCCATTTCCTAGTCTATAGCCTGATTATTTCCCAATAATTTCCATCCATGTATTATTCAAGCTCAATCTTGCTTAGCTTCCAAAATCAGGCAAAGTCAGCCAAATATCTGGTCTAATTGCTCACAAATGGTAATAAAAATAATGGGTCACATTCAGTTTAACCGTGAATGTCTGTTTTCCAGTTGTGATTCAGGAGTAGTTGCAGGATAAGGCAGAGAAAGAAGAGTATGTGCTTTATGGTACTTGGCATAACCACTATTTTTTGTTTATGTTTTTTATGATTTAATACTACAAGCAATTTTCCATATACAAACACTACCTTCAGCCAGTTTCTCTCAGCCCTAGGAAAGAGAATGCAAAAGCAAACCATTTCTGAAATTACTGACAACAAAACTGCAAAACTTGCACAGGGATTTGCCAAAAGTCAAGATGATATGGAAGCATCTCCACTAAATCACAGGCCCAGAGGATGTGAAAAACTCACTGATTTGGAAACATAATATTTTAAAGGACTCCAAAATGGTCTGTTCCCCTCTTGGACTCTAGAATGATATGGTGTCTTCCAAAGGCAAATCTCCAAATTAGAAGGCATTTGAGGTCTCTTAGGTTCTACCTCTAAAATAGATATTTTTGGTCTAACATAAAGGAAAAAAAATGCCAGTTACCTTAAACCAATTCAACTTTGGAGAAATTATTTCTGGAAATTGTTAAATGGCTTCTAGAAAACCTGTTCTAGAAGAGATTCATCATGGACTGGAAGGAAAATGAAATGTTCAGGGCTTTTCTAAAATGTTCTATTTCCAAATTGTTAAGTTTTGCACCTAATAGGTAGTCTGCCAGTATTTCAGGTTATTTTTCAGTAGAGGAAAGAAACCTTCTGAAATACATGATGGTGAGATGACAACCTTTCCCTTTGGCAATGATGAAATGGCTTGCACTGATAAATTGTTGTGTTTTTTACAACTGACAGCAAAGCAAGCTATTTATACTATTCCCTAGATTAAATTTCATGTCTTTAGACAAGATGTTTCCCTCAATGTTGCAGGAGCAGCAAACACTTAGAAAAACCAAACAATAGGTACAAGTAGAAAGAAAAATGAAGTGCCTGCTAAACGATGTCTTACAAATGATTTACATCATGGGTGTCCAACTCATGGCATCATGTTGCCATCCCATGATGTTTCCTGATGTTTTTCCCTTTCATGGAGCTGGGTTGGGTGTGGCCTACACGTGATGCATCCAGCCCGTGGGCCACCAGTTTGACACCCCTGATTTACATGAAAAGCCTGTGTGCTAATGTGAATGTTGCATTGGTGTAGGTAACAAGGAACAACAGCATTATCCATATTTAAAAATACTACTTACACAGGTGGCTTAGAGTACTCATATCTAAAAGGAGTGCAGTAGTGTAATACTGGCAATGTTAGTTCTACACTGAATTGAAGGAGCTGGCAAGCACTGTAATGTGTTGCAGGCAAGTACAATGATAAAATTCAGGCAGTCGGAAAAGCAAACATCATAAAATGGCATACCAATCCAAGGCACATGCAGAAAAGCCAGCAGTGTGAAAAGTAGAACAAATGCACAGACCATTTTACACACTGTGGTGTGAAATGCAAATTTAATTTAATGGCTTACCCACTAAGTACACCAAGTACCAGGTTAAGTACGAAAAATGAGCCCAGAATGATAAGACTAACAAAATAGATCCATGGCCACTCACATCCTATTGCATCATTTACCTGTAAAATGTAAGGAAATACATTATGATTCAGTCGTTCACTATATAGCAGAGTCCTTTTCACAATTGACAGATCACATAGGTATTCAGTGTATTAGCACCATCTGCTCTTTTTAGCAGCACACTTCTTCAGCATTTACCAGATTTACCAGCACTCTAGCGCTTACTCATGATGTGTACAATTTCATTCATTTAGTCATGAAAATTACATAACTTTTTGTATCTTTATACCATGGGAAAGTATACAATTCTAAAAGGGTTGAGAGTTTGTTTTATTTGTACTGACCTTTAAGTCACCAATTAATTTCTATTTAACTGTATTTTTCATAACTAATACTATACTTACATTTAAATTGATTTACTGGGATTTTCTTTGTTTTTAGAAAATGGATTTGGTCTTAAGGAAGTTCTGGTCCTCTGCCATGTTTTAATTTGGAAATCTTATTCCGAATTCTTCTGATTTAATCTCCATACTCTACCTATGTGTTCATGGCAACTGAAATATGGACTCTGCTTCTAGGATGAAAAAGGTGTGTGCTTACCCGCTCAATACACCGAGAACAAGATTTAGAACGAAAAATGACCCAAAGATGACGAGACTGACAAAATACACCCATGGCAATTCAAATCCCATAGCATCATTCATCTGTAAAAAATAAGATGACCTTGTAGAAACATTTGCTTCCATTTGCAATAGTGATCAGCTGGTGACCAAAACACATGTGAAATAAGTACAGTCAGTACTAGACATAAAAGGAAAAGAAGATTAAAACGCCCATCATTTTCTCGTCACTTCAGATGTACATTTAGAAACATCAGGGAAAAATACAAAAGCACCAGAGCTCCATGCTTCTTATATAATAATTTTTTACCTGCAAAAATGACTAGACAGAACTGAATAGTGAATATATAGTAAAAGGAAATAGTTGTTGCCAGAGAGAAACAGTTAATTGTAGCTCTTGTAAAGCCAAAAAATGTACAATAGAATTGTGTTATTAAAATTAAAGGCTGGCATGGAAAAAAATCTGAACATGGGTAATATCCAACTTTTAAGCATGTGCACTTCCATTTATGCGATCAGACAGCGTGAGCCCTGCATTGGTACCAAGAGATTCTCAATTCTCACAAGCAGGATAATAAGAACATTTATTGTGAATTAGTACATTCCATCAGTGCAATGACACCACTGAATCCAGTTCCAGTTATTTAAATATGTAGTCTCAGTGTTCCAGGCCTTTCTGTTTTTTGTGCATCAATTCAAAACCAGGAATTTCTCTATCTGTCACTCTGTCTCTGTCCCTCTCTCTCTCAAAGACACACACACACAAACACTGACTGTCCAAAGGAGAGATCAGAAGATAATGTGAACAGTTTTGCTGTTAAATCAAAATGTTATCATTCTACCACCAATTCTCTTTTAATTTGCAAAGATGTATTGTGAAAAACCAAGCACAGAAATTTAAAGATTACCAAATGCAGTTTTATAAATAACTCCTCAAAAGCTTTACTGTATGCTCAGATAAATGAGTACAGTATTTAAATTTAATAGTCAAAAATGAATGCATTTTTGAAAAGTAAACTGTATGAAATAGATAATTCATCAGGATTATGAATTGTTGATGTTATGGCAACCATTTCATATAATTGAGGTTTAGATGATAATAACAGAAAGTTACATTGTTAGAAAATGTTCATAGATGTTTAATAATTCTAAGACAGTTCTTGCTATTACAATAGCAAAGAAAGAAAGAAAATTATATACATTAGGATAGGACACTGAAAGTAATGTTAATTTAGTTTTGGCAGTAAATCCAAAATCAGATCAGTTCCCCAATCCCAACTGTTTTTAAAAAACATGCATGCTTACATACATACATAGCAGAGGTGGTATTCAGCCGGTTCTGACCAGTTCTGGAGAACCGGTAGTGGAAATTTTGAGTAGTTCGGAGAACTGGCAAATGCTGCCTCTGACTGGCCCCGCCCCATCTATTCTCTGCCTCCCATCGAGTCCCAGCTGATTGGCTGAGTCCTCTTTTGTTGCCCTGCACAGGAGAACATAGCTGGAAAGCAGATTAGTGGGGTGGGAAGGGAATGGGAATTTTGCAGTATCCTTCTACTGCCACACCCACCAAGCCACAGTCACCAAGCCACGCCCATAGAACTGGTAGTAAAAAAATTTGAATCCCAACATACATACATACATACATACACAGTATAAATGCATATATAAAAACATACATGCTAGGAAGAAAACACATTTGGGGGGATGGGGTGGTCCATATGAAAGAGCACTTTGTTTTGTGTGTGTGCTTAATGATGTACTGAGGAAAGGGGGGAAAAAGTTCAGAAGTACAATAACTCAGATTCCAAAAAGCAGAAAGATAGATGGAAACATTGCATGGGTAAGAGAAAGCTTTAGTTAATATCCTAAAATGTGTTAATTCAGAACAGCATTTCTGAGTTCATTCTAAATTCTAAATTTTGAATTCTTTCATTACATTTGTAGCCTTTAATTCAGCAGTTCAAATCAGCATGCCTAGCACTATGTCCTTCTATTTTCAACACAATATCAACTCTGTGAGGTAGACTGGACTGAGAGAGATGGACTAGCCCAAAGTCACGCTGTGAACTTCCACGAGGCGATGATGGCTTAGACCCCGGGTGTTACTCCTCCTAATGCAACACCTCAACTACTACACCACACTCCCGCTTTTAGACCTTAAAAATGGAGCCATTTTGCACAACATGCTAACAAAAAGATTTGAATATTTTGTGAAAATCCCACTATCATGTTAAGCTGTAATATATTTATTTTGGCCACAGCATGTTATAAAAGTACCTCAATGGTGTTTTCTTAACCCAGGTCTAATATTTAGTTAATTATATGAAATGAGTGATTTACTGTCAAAAATACACTGCCTTTCACTCTATAATCATCCCTTTGGGCTCCCAGGCTTTGATTAAATCCCAAAGGAAAACATCAGGAAGGAACTCTACCAGCTGAGAATTTTCATTAGCCCTTGGTGTTATCATCAGCACTGTGGTGTCCTTCCTTAAAAATTAGAAATTCTCCAATTCCTCTGGTGAATTTGGTGAATACAGAAAGGCCAGCTTTATAACCAGCTTTACTTCATATATCATACTAACCTACAGATAGATTGCTTGGTTTTGAGTTTATATGTTGTGAGTTAATGCCATGAATATAACAAGCATGTTCATTTTATCATTTAAGATGGTGAAGCTTTCTCATCTTATGCTTTATTTGCCCTCATTTCATCACCCAAATCTCTCTTATCCCAGTCTGGATTTAGTAGTAAATGTAATCTAGGCTACAAGTAGTAACGCTACTAGGTGGGGAAGAAGACAGGAAGACTGAGATCTTATCTGCAGCTCTAACTTCTGATAACAGAAGAAAGAAGAAAGAGGGAGAAAGATGCATATTCACCTCCTTGGAAGAAGTAACTTTTATAGACTGGACATTAAATAAATGAACCCTTCTCTTTTGCTTTTAAAAAGAGACAAAATATGTTTCACTTGCCTTTAATTCTAGGGAATACAGTATCTCATTACTTCATATGCAGTAGTGGACTAAATCAAACTGATTAACATCAACCAATAATCATTGTGTTCAGATTGCCTCGTGTCTACCGTCTGTCTCTTACCAGACAAATTACCTGAAATTCCTTTGATTATTTGGAATAAGATCAATTTATGTCCAAGGCTACCCCAGTATTGCAATATTTATCTTATTATATCACTAATATTTTAGATCTATCAAGACTTTAAGAATTGTAGACTGTGTGGCAAGAGAGCCAGCTGAAAATATTGTTTTTCAAGACTAGAAAATGAAATCTACAGCTGATTTGCAGAAAAGGAGTATTAACATGGCTGCTGTGAGTAAATCCCACTATATTTCTGACTAAACATTAATCTTCAACAATTCTCTTGGAACTGCTCTTTCCTGATTCTTTCTGTCAGCAGGAGCAGATACAAATCCAGAAAAGCTTATTCAATCTTATGCTCCTGGTTTGCTAAGAAAGGATCAAGTCAGAGATCCTGGTTAGCTTTTCCCACAGTAGGAGGACGCAGTGTGTGCTATTTCCACAACTATATGCTAAACTTAATTCATTTCAACTATTGCTTCTTATATCTAGATGTTTTAAGTTAAATTGGCTTTAACAATAATTTTCATTGTTATAAAGACAATGATATTTCATAGCAATTGAAATAAAGAGGAATAAAATAAGTATTTTTAGTTACTTTAAGTTTCTTGGGAAATACATTCAATCTTTGTTAGCTTTCTGGAAGGTTTTTAAAACATGCTTTTTTGTCACCCGCTTTGCAGATCCCAAGGAGAGTCTGCAAGATGACAATATGAGATTAAGCGGGGTTTGTTGTCGCACAATCTGGGGCTTTATCTGTTTACTTTTTGTTTTACTTATTTTTGATCGTTTGCGGATTGTTATATAATGTTTACCTATTGTGCTGCATGCCCCCGGTGTCACATGTCTATGAGATTGACAGCTGTATAAAAAAAATGAATAATTCTAAATGAATAAATAATCTCTAGATTAATACATCAATTTTATCAATTAATACAGTACATGTCTACTGAGAAGTAAATAAGTTTACTTCTATGGATCCTTCTCTTATACATAGAAATACACCCTAAGTATCTCTCCATTTTAGTCCTTTTAAATATTGTCTTGAAATTTTGTATGTAGTGTGCATGTGTGTCACATAATATTTTAATTGGCCTTTAATATACTGGAGCTTTTATCAGCATCTAGAATAGCCTTGAGAACCAGGATTTTCTGAAACAGTGCAAGCTGTTCTAATAGGCTTTGATGTCTGAATAATAGGTCAACCAACCCTTGAACGCAGACTTCTAAGTGCCTGGCCAGAATGACATACAGTTTCTCAAAACCTTGCTGATTTCAAAGGCTCTGCTCTAAGGTCTTAGAGGCTCATATATCAAAACAGGCTTAAAAGGGAATGCTTTTCAAATCTAACAGCTTACCCACAGCTTATCTGTCAGAAAAAACTACCCTACGTTCTTCACTGTGTTCTCTGGATTTCAAAACACAAACACACCACAATCTGTCTCTTATCTACATCCTATATGTCAAGTGCATTGAGGTAGGATATAGTTGCTATGAGAATCACAGAATTGCATGCTTTTCATTTGGAATTAAATAAAGTACAAAAAAAAAAAACCCACCAAGAGTTCTTAGAATAATTGTTATGCCTCTATGTGCAGCCCATTTACTCCTAAAATAATATGTAAGCATAAAATAATTTGTCAAGTGTATAAAATGGGCCTTTGGCCTTGTTGCTTTCCTTAGAAATCAGGATCATAAAATAGGCATTCTGGCCAAGTGAACATTAAGGTAGGAGTTGAAGCTCAAACTAGACATTAAAAAGAACCTTCCTGCTTAGTGGTAGTCTCGAGTACATTTGTATGTGTATGGTAATTTGTTTAGTGCCTCAAGCCAAGTAGACCATCAGCAGTTTGTGGGTATTAATAATGCATAAATCCCCATATTAGTGGGGATTGGGTTCAAGTTCTGCATGACCATAGAGCTCACTAGAAGATGAAGACTTGCATTTTCAGCCAAGCTAGTTTTTATGAGAACACAGTGGAAGGATTCCCAGGTTTCTTATCTTGAGCTCCTTAAGGGAAAATTTGGATATAAATAAAATAAATGACTAAAGAACTAGGACTCAATAAAATGAACATACACCAGTATTTATGTCATTTATATTATACTAAGATTCTTTAGACTTTTGTTTTCTTGTTCTCCACAAATATCTAACATATTCCCTATGTCTTCTTATCCATACTTCCAAGCACCAATAGCATAAGTGGTATTAGTTGGGTTCATTATATATGGTAGTTGCCAGAAATTGGGGGACTTTAAGCACAGGGTTGTTTGACCAAAACCATTACAGTTATGTCACATCACACCTGATTTTATATTTCACATTTTTGGGAAAAATAAGAAGATAAGAATTATTTTTTGGTTTTGTCAAACATTCAATTAATTATTGTCTAATATACATAGTATTTCAATTATGAAGGATCAGGATGTAAAAAAGCATGTATTTCTACAGAACCAAAACGCTAACCATTACAAATTGGGAAAATATTAACATAGAGCTAGATTTCAAAGAAATCACATTGATTTTTATACTCCTAATCAATTATGGTAATCCATGTCATCCGCTGCTTATAGGTATTATGATTATTGTGTGACCTACATAGGGTTAAATATGTAATTATAAATAATTTAAAGAAAGTGTTAAATAATTAAGAGACAGATTTGTTTATAAATATTACATAAAGACACAATGACAGGTTGTTACAGACAACACTCAGATCAAATTATCTAGTTATCTATTGAACTCTGAAACCAGTCTCTAAAAATCATACATGACTGAACAGATTTAAAAAAACAACTGATTAAACCATATCCAGGGCTTTTTACACAATGCAAACAACTGTTGTAGCTAGAATAAACAAAGACTCATCTTCTCACATAGACTCAGCAATAATATGTGCCCTTCAACTATTGCTAAAAATTATTGATTAAAAGCAGTGAGTATAAATTTAAAAGAGAAATTCTACCCTCTGATACAAGATGATCGCACCATAAAACATGAGTCTATGATATCTCAGAGAAGTCTGGCTGACCACGAAGTGGCAGCAAATGGCTAGAGCTTTCTGTATTATTTTTGTTGCCATTTAGTAATTGGCTGGATTTCTTTTTTTTTTTTTTTTGCAGCCTAGATATAGTAGCTGTAATCATGGTGTAAATGAACGTAGTCATTTGTGATGGGTTCTACAATCAAAATCAGATTAGCTACAAAATTCCTGAAATCTTTAAAGTTTACAGTGTTAAATCCATACAAATAAAGATGGTTCAAAAATATTAAATTAAAAATATACATTTATTTATTTGACAAATTTATACCCCGCCTTTCTTCCAGGAGTCCAAGGTGACACATATATAAAGAACTGTGGCATATTAAATTTTGTTTTGTTGGGATAGGTATTCCATGTAAAGCAGATTCAGATAATTTGCCTCTATGTGAGATCCTCATGGGACATGGTTCATTTAAAACTCTTGACATTTAACCAGCATGCTTCAAAGTTCTTTTCTAAGAGCAGCACTTATTAATGGATTCTCCTTCTCTGGATGTGATCAAGTGGAAACCAGACAGCCATGTGCTAGACATGAAATTTATATTAAATTTAAACAGATGGTTGGACTCAGTTGCCTAAATGGCTTCTTCCAGCTTTAGCAGTCTAATAGTTTCATCTGGTAATGTTCTCCACAAATCTGAACCTTATTAATACGAACTTCATTTATTTTGCTCTCTATTCTTTACCACTGCAGTTTTATTTTTGATTCTGTTTATAATGAGATGGTTGAACATTTTTCTTGGATGGAATATTAGATAGGAATCCATCTAGAAAATTCTGGCTTAATTAGCAAAGGAATAATTTGCAAAGGAGTTCTCAGTCCTTTCTGAAATGCATTCTCACATTATTCCTTTTTCATGTATTACAATGGTTTCCATAAGAGAACTTCTCATTGGTCAGGTACCATTTTGTGTTTTGCATCACACTTTAAGAAAGATTCTGATTAACTAAAAAGAACTCAGAGAATGACAGAAAGAACGTTCAGGGAGTAGAAATTAAGCCCTATATAAGGAAAGTGAAGGAACCTGAAATGCTTAGCCTTGAAAAGAGAAGGAGGATATGAGTAGAAGGACATTTCAAATGCCTTGAAAGATGGCACCACTACTGACCTCTACAGATCCAAGTGCTGGACACAGAATGATGGTTTTAAATTGCAGGAAGGATGCTCAATTTTGATTGAATGTTAGAACAAAATCTCCTAACAATTATTGTAGCACGGTAGGGGAAATAACTCAATGTTCCTGGTTTATTGGCAAGAGTTACCACTAAATATTATGAAGAGATGGCCATCCTAGCCATTTATTTCTTCTCATATAAATCAATGAGGGCCCTTTCCCTGATATGGCAAATAGTACTGCATTGTAGTGATTTCAAGGGGGGCATTGTAATTGTATAGTATACACAAATAGAGTGGTACCACCCATATAGTAATATGAGATATTTAAAAAGCTTATAATTAAATGGCAGCGACAGACAAGAATAGCATCTTTGTCAATTGTTTTTGCTGCTGAATATGTAAACACAGAATAGTTATTTTCTGTTTCCATGGGTGGCAGAAGCTACTTTAGGAATTAGTCCCACATGGGAGATATTAATTAAATCCCTACTGGTTGTAGACACACCTAATATTAATGGAGTTCTTCTGCCACCTTCAGTAGGAAGCAGCCTTTAGTCGAGGAAATAGCTCCCTGTCCATCACAGTGGTTAAAATCATTACAATGTTTGACATTGCAAACATTTAAAAAGTTGCCTTAGGGAGGAATATGGTATATATTCCAAGTATTTGTTAGCTTTCTAAGGCATGGCATTATATTCAGATAATTTTCAACATGATTTTCAAAATCATACAACAAAGCATAACATGAAATAAGACAGTTTTATAAAGAAAATAGATCTGGAACCACAGATAGGTTAGCAAAAAAATTTTTTTACAAACCCCTCCCTTTTTAAAAAAATGACAACAAAAAAATTATGCTGCTAAAATAAACAAAATTGAACTAACCACTTTTGTGCAAGCGCTATTGAATTTTGATATTCACATAGAAATTCCAGGGTCCAGAATATTTTCAATCACCTGAACCAGTTTTCAGATTAGGTAGAATACATATTTATTTATTTATTTATTTGATTTGATTTGATTTGATTTGTCAATTGTTTACAAGATAATAAGTATAAGTGTATACATAGTTATGAATACATAAAATAAAAGAAAAATAAAAGAAACAATAGGACAGGGACGGTAGGCACGTTGGTGCGCTTATGCACGCCCCCAGAGACCTCTTAGGAAAGGGGTGAGGTCAATAGTAGACAGTCTAAGGTTAAAGTTTTTGGGGTTTGGGGAAGAAACTACAGAGTCGGGTAGAGCATTCCATACATTGACTACTCTGTTGCTGAAGTCCATTTCCTGCAATCAAGTTTGGTGCAATTAACCTTGAGTTTGTATCTGTTGTGTGCTCTTGTGTTGTTATGGTTGAAGCTGAAGTATTCATTGACAGGTAGGACATTGCAATGTATGATTTTATATACCATTCTTAAATCAGACCGAAGACGGCGTAATTCAAGGTTTTCTAGTTCTAGAATTTCAAGTCTGGTGGCATAAGGTATCCTACAACAATGTCTATAATATCTGGACCTCAAATCTTTGCCTGCTATCTGATAAAAATGGCTACAGCTTGCATCTAGTTCTCTTTCAGATTATAAAATGACATTAATATTACGTCCCATGTATTTTCCAATTTCATCACAACATTTTACAATTTGGTAGCATTTTAGAGAAGTATCAGGTCAGCTGTGTATCCCTATTGTAAAAGATTGGAATAACTCTGAATATTTAGATCTAAGGTACAACCCTTAAACACATTTACTGTATAGGAAAATGGGAATACATCTGCGTAAAAAGACATAGAATAGTGCTACTGATATTTTTACTACTTCGATACATAATTTAAAAAGTATTTGTAGCCAACCAGATGTTGTGGAGCTACAACTCTCATTAGGAATGACAAGAAATGTAATGTTTGGTTATCAATAGTATAAGGAAATTGAAGAAGGAGATAATTTAGTCACTGCTTTTAGTTATATTTTATGTGCTCAATACTTGCCAAATAGAATGGAACTTTAAAAAAGTTATTTTTGAAAACATGTTGACATGGAATTGTAAATATTTTTAATACAAAAATCTCAAAGTGCTTAAAAATCATCAGATACAAAGAGTTTCACAAAACTGGACATCCTGATGAAACATACTGCTGGAAAACCTAGAAACACAAGATTTTTAAAATTGTCCATACTGTTTAGCCCAAGTAATCTAAGAAAAGTGAGCTGCAGCTACTTACCAGAGTGGCTTAGAATTACAAAATAATCCCAGAACTCTTTTTTAAGATGAAATGTTTTCAAATACACAAAAAACACCACTTACCCAATATAACACATCTGTCCATCCTTCCATGGTTATACACTGGAATACCGTTAACATTGCATAACCAAAATTATCAAAGTTTGTTATGCCTCCATTTGGTCCAGGCCAGCCGCCCTTACATTCAGTGCCATTTTGAGGACACTGACGTCCACTCCCTGAGAATGCACAAGGTGCAGGTTCATCTTCAGCTAATATTTCTAAAAATGAATTAAAAATATTTCAGTTGAGCAGTCTTCAGCCTCTGGCTCAAAAAAAAAAAAAATCACAGCAGTCAAAAGGATCATGAATCTGAATGGATATTAAAAGCTTGATCTCATTAGACCTTGAATACTGGTTTACCTAAATCATTCTTCAAACAAGCTTACTCATCTACATGCTGTCACCTATCTGGGGAAGTTTCTTTGTGAACTAAACTAAACAAAAAGATACATACTGCAATTCCACAGTGTGTGTCTGTGTGTGTGTGTGAGAGAGAGAGAGAGAGAGTGCCTCTCTGTGTGTTTGTGTGCACATTCTTATCATGGCATTATATACTAATGTATAGTATATAATGCTAATATATACTAATATGCACTTGCCAGATTTTACTCTCTAATAAAAATCAGACTGAATGGTACTTTACAAAAAACAGTGTTATGTATTAATTAATATGAAATATCCCATCTTTCTAATGAGGTTGTGCTTTTTTAGATTTATATTTTATACACATAAATATATATTTTATATTACATGCCAATAGAAATCATATAGGGATTAATAATTACAGATTTTCTTCAAAAAAAAGTTTTCATCCATTTAAGAATAGTAAAACTGTGCCTGATCACAGGATCTTATATCCTATAGTATTTTCTTATTTAACATTATATTGCTATATATTAATAATACTTAAATCTACACGAGCAGATTTCTATTTTGAACTTTGAACCATTTCTTTGTGAAATTGTCAGAACTAATTAATCATTAAGAATGAATGTTAAGCAGTTATATCTTTGAAAACCTAGATACAGAACCAGTGTCCGAGAGAATATCCTTTTTCACATTATTGGGAAAGGCTTTATAATATCACCAGACTTCCCATCATTATTAATCATCTAGTACTAATTTTTAGTTTTGGGTAGCAGGATTCAGCATCAATCCTATGGTAGCATTTACTGTACCCTAGCTGGCTGCAGATCTGAAAACCAATTACCAGTTACCAATGGTTTTAACATTTTCTCACAATTCTGTTCTGATGTACTGTAGAGAACTTTAACATAATTTAACATAATTTTTACTGCAAATGTCATATTAAGTGATGCAGAAAGCCGTAGATATCTCCCATGCAGAGGGAGACAGGAAGGATATAATTATGACCCCCATTAAATCTACTTTTTCAGAAAAAAGCAATATGCAAGCTGTATTTATTTGGTGAGAACTATTACAGCTTTCAACCAATGGTTTCTGATGCCACTGTTCAATTCCAGTTACAAGTAACAATTGCTTTACTCACCTGAATCTTCAAAATAACATGATTTGTGCATTTTTCCAATAAAAAGTTCCAATCCTATAATAGCATAGATTATGATTACAAATAATACCAAAAGGGCAATATGGAGCAAGGGAACCATGGCTTTTATAATTGAATTCAGGACAACTTGTAAACCTGTAAGATAAAGAGCACTGGTTATACTGTTTTGTTTTTTTGTAGTTACAAAGAACAAATGCAAGTAGGCATCAGGACTAAAATTGCTGCCACCCCCTCCTATTTTTAGTACAGCCTTTACAACCTGGGGCACTGCAGAAATATTGGACTACATTTCTGACTCTTGCAATCAGCATGGTTGTACTGGGGGTGGAAGAGAGCATAGATAAAATAAAATCACCATGCAGATACACAATACTTTAAGATGAATTTGAGCATAATACAAGCTCTCACTTTGTTAAGGGAAGGAAAAAGAACTAACTCTTATTTGAACTGAAATTTGTATACATAACAAAATTAGAGATATCAATCTGCTGCCAATGAGAATTTTACATCTTACTAAAAGGCTTTTTGTTCATTTATGGACGATCTCTGACAATTGCTTGATCCTCCATTGAAGTGATTTTCCTGAACCACATCAATTGCCATCATTTCCATGGCAACAGATTACAGTGTGATAAACATAGCATTATGACCTTGTGTATGGATGAAATATTAAAAGCAAAGAGATTAAAAGAACAGATGCTTCATTCAACCAGAAATATTCTCAGAGAGAAAGAAAAGAAAAGAAAAGAAAACCAATGAATGCTTGTGAAATGTTATATAAAGGATTACATGTACAGTAAATCAACTTGTTATTTTGTTGAACTAAATGTTCCAGTAGCCTTCCTGCATTTAATAAACCCACTCTCATAGTTAGGGTCACAGTTTAATAGACTACAAATTGTTGGTTTTTTAAAAAAAACCTATTAGTATCTTAGAAACTTTTTGGAAATTCTAAAAAAAGGTCATGAAAGTAGATAAATGATTTTGTATGGCCAACATGTTGGGCACAGCCTCAAGTGTAACTCCTCTGAAGCATAACAATTACTTCGCTGATCTGCATACATTGGCTGTGTTCACAATCATACTCAGCATTTGCAGGCCTTTTTTGGACTTTCACCTGAAACATTAGGTGAACCCAGTCACTGCCAACTGCAAGATATATTGCATTACTTTATCTCTATGCTAACACAGCCATGATTGCCGCAACCAGTTAACTATGTTTTAAGTAGATCGTGGCTTATCAGAACATATTGACACCGATAGGAGTATGTGCCATGTAATCTTGGCCAGACCTGTTACACAGAGTAGATGAATTATTTCTATAATGCAGAATGTTTAAAAACTGTTGCTCAGAAGAATGACATTGTATATTAGTCACATTATATGAAAGTGGAAAACAAAGCAATGTAATTGCTATAATTACCTTATTGGTTTAATTTCTTGATACAAATACCTTCTAGAAGGCATTACCATACTGTATAGAAGTAAGTTACATAGGTAAGAGCCACCAAAGCTGGCAGCTGTGCATTTGGTTCTCTTTAAAATTTACTTGAATTTATCTATATTCTAATTTCATATGCAGCAATGTGAGTGAATGATGTCATATAATATAATATTCTGACACTAGGTCACTGGGTGAGTTCTGATAAGACTCTTCTGAAGCAAACCGTACATGCATCAACCAAATCTATAATACTGGCAAATATCTATAGCTCAGGTGTAGGATGAGGGTGAAAGTTCATTCTCCAAGCTGGTGGGTTGGTTTCTGAACATTTCATTATCAGACTAGGTAACATCTTCTGTGAAGTTTAGGGGATATCAGTATCAGTGTTCTGTTTATAAGGGCTTTGTGTGGTAAGTCTTGTGAGGTTACATCAGGAGGACAGGGTCCCATCAGGTAAGAAACTTGTGATGGGTCAGGTGTGGGTGTTTCAAGTGAGGGTCTAATCCCCTAAACTCCAATGAAGATGTTACCTAGTCTGGTAATGAAACAGTCAGAAACCAACCTGCAAGGTCAGAGAATGAACCTTCACCCTCAAATCTGCACTATTCCAGCTGTTTTTCCACTTCAAAGTATTCAATTTTATTTTAGATTGCCTTGAGTGCTATAGGCAGAAAGGTATCAACTACCACAGAAGTACTAGTAATAATGCATTTTTAGGGGCAGACCAATATATTCGTAATATAACGGTTATTTTACTACCTAATGTGTAAATTATGGCCTAAACCATGAAACATAATAATCTAAATTCCTTTGCTTTCTTTATGAACTTGAAAAAGATCCATATTGAATTTGAAAACTCAGTTTGGACTGTATCTAAGTAAACTTCTATCATGTCATCACATTTTATGGTACTATACTCTGCAGACTGCAGGGAAAGAGGAGGATATACTTCAGCCTCCAGAAAAGTTTATCAAAGTAGCCTAGGGATGCTTTTGTTTGAATTCCCAAATAATTAATGAAGCGGTGACTTACTGGGCACTCCTGATACAAGCCGGAGGGGTCTCAGGACACGAAAGGCCCTTAGAGCTTTTACATCAAAACCACCTGGTTTGCCACCGGAATGGCTACCCCCTTCTGCTTCTTTGGTTATTTGTTCCAAAATTACACTAAACAATCTGGAGAACAAGAAATAAAAGATTTCATATTGATGTTATTATAACATAAGATAATAAGCTTTTTTCATAAAGGAGGTTTAAATTTGGTATAATTCAGAAGAACCTTTAATGACTTATGCATACCATACGTGTATTATGTAAAACCTAAAAGATCACCATTACAACATTAGAAAAGCAGGCTTCATGCTATTGAGCTATTTAAAAAATAGCTCAGAGTAATTCAGATGCTTTTTCCTTGGAACCTTAGGGAGAAGGTTTCTTTCGGGAGTCAGACATAAAACATCAAATTCAAACTCAGATTCACTATCACTATCTAATTCATATTTCTTCATATTCAGACAGAAATGTGTTCATATCCAGATGTTGCAGTCAGTTTTATGCACACTTTTATATTTAACTATTGCTCACCTCTTGTGATAACCAGTGGACAGGAGAGACTACTAGAGATGCTGTTCAGTCATTACATTGGAATAGATTTATTTTGTCAAACGATAGTTCAAGTGATGTTTATCTTTTGGACTAGTTTCCACACAAAACAAATAATTCAAGCAATATTACTCAGAATGCTGCGCAATATTTTAAATGTTTGCAAAATATTCATTGGTAAGATATTTGTTTCTCAATATCTCTTCCTTTTTGCCACTTTCATTTAAACAATCTACATTAGTTGTCTGAAAACAAAAAACTTACTAATTATTCTGATACAGTATCCCAAGATAAGGTTATTGGAATTATTTCTACCAAACAGAACTCCCATTATACGTTTCCTGAGTCTTCCCCTTATATCTTTAAATTCTCAGTTTTAATAATCATTGAAAAGTGTACATAAGAACCCCACATTCCTCTCATGCACTGTGTGATTTCTTTAGCGTGAAGGAATCTGTCTTGTGCTACATTTCACACCTCAGAATACACATATATGGCTTGCTATGCAGATATTTCTGTAAAAGAAAAACATTATACAGAACAATTCTAAGTATGTGTTTATATAAACCTTACTAAAGGATATTGTTATATAAAATTCAGTGGTGTCCTCTTAAAGAGCAAGGGGAATATATTCAAGGATTAGATTTCCTATTTGGGAAATCATTGCAAAGCAATTAAGTATTTGACAACACTGCAATCTCGTAAAGCTGAAGAGAAGGATAATTACAGATTCCTTGTTTGAATGTTATAGCAAATACATAAAGTAAAAACATTTTTAGATGTTAATTTCTTAGAAAAATTAAAAATTGGACTTACCCTACTATAACTATTACAAAATCCAACAAATTCCATCCATTTCTAACATATGCATTGGGATGTAATAATAATCCATATGCTACAATCTTCAAAAATGTTTCAATTGTAAAAATAATCAAGAAGGCATATTCTACTTTTTCCTGCAATACACACATTAAAAAATGAACAAACCAATCATTAATAAATTAAGCATTAAATTATATAATACATTTATTATTGTCTCTTCTAATGCTCGAGTATCAAGCAATCTTTAAAAATTCAAGTATGTTCTTTCTTAGCATTCAGAGAACCAGTGAGCCCCAAATACTACAAACGCATGCACGGTGTCAGAATAAACTTCAAGTAAATGCTTAATCCCTTTTAAACTACTGAAATTGTTTACAGATTTCAATGATTGATTTCAGACTAACGATTCCTTAAATCATAATATAATTATATCATGCAGCTTATTTATTTATCAATTTATATAGTTGCCCATCTCAAATCTGTGACTGGGCAGCAATGTTATTTTATCTTTATTCCATCTTTGTGTTCCTCAACAGTAAATCGTTGTAAACTGTTCCTTTATAAGTATAAAATAATCTAAAATGAGTTAAAGCATATTAAAGATTTTAATTATAAGCACTCTGCTACTGTAACACTATTAATGCAAATTGTTTCCCCTATAAACTAATAACACATTGAATGATCAATTGTATATTGCCGTCTTCTCCGACCAGATGCTCAGTAAAGTTGTAGGACATTTACATTCTCTGTAAGTACTGGTAGGTAGTCAGAAAGACATCAATCAGAGACCTTCAGAATGACATTACATTGCGTTAAACTTTCTCCAGCTCATCATCCTGGAGCCAAAAAAGCCATCACCTAATATTAAAGCATAATTGGCTGATTGCAAATAATACATTCAGCATAATCTTGCAAAATGATATCACACCAGCATTGCACCATTCTCATGAAAGCTCCACAAACTGGTATTCACAGTTATCCAGAATTTATGTAAGGTTTCTTTTATTTCATTTAAAAAGTTCTGAGAATAGGAATTGGGAAAAATCCATTCATTTTTATTTTTTTAAAATAAATTTTATTAAGTTTCCAAATTTTAAATACATAAAATAAAACTTTATACATTATTAACAACATCAAGACATCTTTTGCATCTCCTCACATTTTTCAGTATATTTACTTATTCCTGTACCATTACATCTTACTCTTACTATAAGTCAATATCTTTTATCCTTACATCTCAATCTTCTCCATGGTATATTTAGATATTTACATATTCCCTCATTCTTTCCCTAATTGCCATTTTATTTTAATTTCTAAACCACTCATACCAGGCATCCCAGGCCCTATAATAAATTGAATCTTCTCTGTCTTTTATTTTCATCATTAGCCTGCCCATCTCTATACAATCTATTATTTTTTTTATAACCATGCCTTCCGGTGGAACCCTTTTTTCCTTCCAGAGTTGTGCGTACAAAATCCTTGCAGCTGTTAATATATGTAACATAATATATCTATCTGCTTTATTGCATTTTTGTGTTATTATACCTAATAAAAAAGTTTCCAGAGTAAATTCAGTTTTCTGATTCGTTATTTCTTCTATCCATTGTCTAATTGTATTCCAATATTTTTTTCACTTCCTGGCATGTCCATCAGGTATGAAAATAAGTGCCTTTTTCTTTTCCACATTTCCAACAATTTGGGTCTGAGTTAAACATTTTTGCCAATGTAGCAGGAGGAAGGTGCCATCTGTAGAACATTTTGTATTGACTTTCCATGTATACTGTGGATGTAATTAGTTTGTAATTTGATCCCCACATTGTCTCCCAATTTTCCAGGTCTACATTGTGGCCAACATTTTTCACCCATACCACCATCGTCTCTTTGACCACCTCCTCTTCCATTTTAAAATCTAGTAGAAAGTTATATATTCTTGAAATCATTTGCTTTTCCATCTCTTGTAAAATTTTATCTAATTGATGCTTTTCCATGCAGAAACCAAATTGTTCTTTGTCCTTCTGATATCTCGCCTGAATTTGCATGTATGGCCACCAATCTATCTTTATATTTTGTTGCTGTAATTCTTGTCTCGTTTTTAATCTTCCTTGTATGTCTAATAGGTCTTCGTAATTCCTCTTTTTTCCCAGATCCATTGCATTTGGGTAGATTTGTGCTTCCATAGTTGACAACCAATTTGGTATTTTAGTATAATATTCTTTTTAATCTTGCTCCATGTCAGAATTAATGAATCTCTAATCAGGTGTCTCTGAAAATATGCATGCTGTTTACATTTCCCATCCCATAAGAAACTATGTCACCCTCTCTGCAAGTCGTGACCCTCTATCGACAGTACTCTTCTATTTTTCAGGTTGATCCAATCTTTAATCCATACCATAGCCACAGCCTGATAATACATTTCCCAGTCAGGGAGTCCAAAGCCACCCCTTTCTCTTTTGTCCTGTAACAATTTCATTTTTATCCTAGCTATTTTCCCATCCCAAACAAATTTACTCATTATTCGATCTAATTCTCTAAAAAAGGTTTTATCCAATCTTATTGATACAGTTTTAAAAAGACATAGCATTTTTGGTAGGGTAGACATTTTAATTGCTGCAATTTTCCCCAGTAGTGATAGCTGTAACTTCCCCCACATTTCCAATTCTTTTTTATTTGTATTATTAATATGTCATAGTTATCTTTTTTGATTGAAGAGCATCTTGCTGTTAACCAAATGCCTAAATATTTTACCTTTTTCACACTTTGCATTCCCAATTTTCCTTCTAATTCTTTTTTTTTTGCTTATCTTTTAAATTTTTAGTCAATAATTTTGTTTTGTTTTTATTAATCTTAAGGCCTGCAACCTTGCCAAATTCCTCTATTTCCTTCATTAATTTTACTCCAGTATCCTCTGGATCTTCCAAAAAAAAAAAAAATACTATATCATCGGAAAATGCCTATACCTTATAATGCTTCTTTTTAATTAAAGCCCCTTTAATTTCTACATTTTTCCTAACATTTCCAATAAGTTTTCTAAGGTAAGAATAAAGAGAAGGGGTGACAGTGGGTATCCCTGCCTTACACCCTTGTTCATCTTGAATGTTTCCATTCTGTCACCATTCATTATTACACTGGCCATCTGTGTCGTATAAATTGTCAAAATCAATTTAATAAATTTATTGCCAAATTGCATGCTTTTTAATTGTTGTATTATGAACTGCCAATTAACATTGTCAAATGCCTTTTGCACATCGAGAAAGACCATTGCCAATTGTTTTCCTGGGTTTGCTTCATTAATATTCTATTATATTCAATACCATTCTGGTATTATTTTTAATTTGTCTATTTGGTAAGAATCTGTTTTGGTCACTATGAATGATCTGATAAAGGGTTTTTTTCAATCTTTCTGCCATTATGGACATAAATATTTTATAATCAACATTTAAAAGGGATATGGGTATAATTTTGAATTAATTGATAGTCCGAATCTTCTTTTGGGATCAATGTTATGTATGTCTCCCCCCATGTTTTAGGTAATTTTGCTGTCGTCAATACCTCATTATAGAGTTCTAATAATTGCATTTCTAATTTTTCTTGGAGTGTTTTATACAGTTCCCCTGGGAGACCATCTGGTCCTGGTGTCTTATTGTTTTTCTGTTTCAGGATTGTCTCTTGCAGTTCTCTTAATGTTATTTCCCTGTTTATCTCTTCTTTATCCTCTTCCAGGATCACAGGTAGCCCTTTTCCTTCTAAGTAATGTTGGATATTTCCCTCTGGTACGTCTTCCCTACTATATTATTCCTCAAAAAAACTTTTAACAATATGTTTTTTCTTTTCAGATTGATGTTGTAGCGTACCATCAGTGTCTTTCAATTGTTCGATTGCTCTTTTTTTCTTTTTCTTTCTTAAAGTCTATAGGCTAGCCACCTTCCCGGCTTATTCATGTGTTAAAAATAATTCTGTTTTATCTTTTTCATGGCTGTAACCATTCATCTTGTGCTAATATATTCAATTTATGTCTAATCATTATCCTCTCCGTATATGCTGTCTTATTATGTGGTGTTTTTTCTAGTGTTTTTTCTAACTCCTTAAGAGTATCTAGTAGTTGAGATTGTTCTCTTTTTTCCCCTTATATCTACGTGTATTATATGAAATTGCTAGGCCCCTGATATATGCTTTAGTTGTATCCTATAGGTTTGGAATTGAAGTTTGTTGTTTGTTGTTTTCCTTCAGAAAGAACTCCAATTCTTTTTCCATCACCTTAACACATTCTTTTTCTTTTAGGATCTCCTTGTTTAGCAACCATCTTCTGTTTTTTTTTCAATCCTTTCCAAATTATTTTAATGGGATTATGGTCCACCCATGTGTTAGATTCAATTTCTATTTCTTTTATATTACGTTCCATTTCCCCATTTGTCCATAGCATATCCAATCTTGACCATGATGTGTGTGGTGCTGAATAGTAAAGCATACTGTTTTTTGTCTGGATTTCTTTCTCTCCATATATTGTAATCTTTTCCTAAATTTGCTATTGCACTGAAGTCACCTAGCAGGCATATGTTCTCATATTCTTATTCTACTAATTTTCTGTATAGTTTGGTATAAAATTTTTCTTGTTTCTCATTCGGCACATATATCACTGTCAATAACATTTTCTTATAATTTGTATAAACTTCTAACATCAAAATCCTACCTTCATCATCTGCATATACCTGTTTTGCTTGTAAATGTTTTCTAATATATATTGCTATCCCCTCTTTTTTTGTTCGGCTAGAGATACGTATAAATCTCCAAACTTTGGTGCTTCTAACAGTTTACTTTGATATTTCTGGATATGTGTTTCTTGAAGGTATATAATATCTAAGTTCAATTTCTGTAGTTTAGTTATCCCTTTTTTCCTCTTAATTTGTGAATTTAAACAGTTGATGTTAATGGAAATCAATTTGATTTCTTCCGCCATCTTACTCTGTAGTTGTTTCTTGTTGAAGCTTATTTGCTCTCATTTGGTGTCTCATTCTTAAGCCTTCTCTTTCCACTTCTTCCTGCTCTCTTTCCTCTTGTTCTGTTTCTCTTTCCTCCACCGATCTTCTTCTTCGCTCCTACTTTCCACTTCCTCTTTGCTGTTTTGGTCTTCTCCTGA